TCCTTTAATTATATCTTTAATTTGTTACTATTTAGTATAATAAAATATTCATTGTTATGTCTAACTATCGTACAATGCATTAACAACTTGCAAGTATTAAAATATTTATTTTGAGCATATTATTAAATAACACATAATCAACTATTATTATATGAAGTTCAATTTTTAATTCTTTAGCATAATAACCCTATTATTGTATTATCTTTTTCCTTGTCGCTAGAATTTTATTATTGTTGGGGTTTAATGATTTTTTATGTTTTATAATTTATCTAACTATTGAGAAATTTTGACTTTACCTATATTTAGAGAAAAAAAACACCATGCAATGTATATGTTTTAAAGTTTTTACATTAAGTGTTTTCTCTCAAATTTAAAATTTAGTTATTTTAATTTTTATATTAAAACTGTTTTGTAGTCTTAGATCTTAACTGTTAGACTTTTAAGCTCTTTCTTTTTTATACATTTAACTGTTTTCCCACTTAAATAATAGTTACTTTTTTTTAACTTGTTTATTTGAATTCGATGAACATGTTTTTCTCGTAACTTTCAGCAAGTTTATTAATTTTTTAAAACTTATTAAACTAAAAAACCAATATAATATTAGGAAAAAAAAACAAATATAATAAATATGTGAAATTCATTGGTGATATAATTTAATGTATACTTCAATATCAAGCCAACTAATGAATTAAAAATTTATGCATGAATTCTCAAACAGGAATATTTTAGTTATTCATGTTGGTATAAATAATAAAATGACTTGGACTGATCAACCACTTCCAATTATAGAAGACAAAACAAAGTAAAAGTTAACATTCCAAAAGGAGCAGAGTGTGAGAGAGTAGAATAATACTCTTCCACGAAAAATATAAGGGGACAAAATATCTGCATTTAGATAAAAACGATAACTATTAGTCATGGTTTAATATCTAAAGAGACAACCAAACCCGTTTTGATTATTTTAATCATTTTTTAATTTTTTAATTTAAAGTTGCTGGTCTCTTTATAACTCACGTCACCTTTGTTTAGAAACTTAAGTGCGTCTTTAATTCAATTGATTCTCAAAAGATATTAATATTTTTAAATTTTTCAGTAGAGTTTTTTTATCCCTCATGCTATATATGGAATAAAAAAATAAATTATGTTAGAAAATTAAAAATATAAATTTACTTAAATTTAATTAGTAAATCTTATAATTAGTTATAGTAGTATTTATTTAATAAAAGTCGTATCTTGCTCTCTTTAGTATGACTACATATAATATATTATCCTTATTCTTATTTATTTGTCTAAAAAGAAAAGTATTTATTTATTTTTTGTTATTTATTTATGTAAAAGTTTAAAATAATAGTAATTGTTATTCTTTCACTAACAATTTTTTATATTTTTAAAAATATTTATATTATTTTAAAAGTTTAAGAGTTAGAAAATTTCTCATTAAAAAATGAATAAATTTAGCAATTAATCTAATAAAAGTTAAATTTCTTGATTTGTATATGTTTTTTTAAATGAAAATAAGGCAGAGGTAATATTAGTCAAACGTAGGGAGGGGTGCAAATTCCTTAAAAAAAACTTTTTTAATCGTTAAATATAATTAAGATATAAGGATGAATTAATTTTAAGTATATATTCTTATTGGAATGTGTGTTTAAAATTAAGAGTATGAGAATTGATATTCTAATGAAAAGATAAACAACCCTAAAGATATTTTTTTAGGGGGTGAACCCTAGCTTGTTACTAGAGATAGAAATTAAACTGTAAATTTTATTTATAATTAATTTGACTAACATTTTTATCGATTGAAATTGAACTATAAATATCAATAAATAGAAACAAGGTTAAATTAAACAAGCATCACTGGCAAAATTTGAGCACAGAGAAGATAATTGAATCAGCTTTAACAAAGGTGGGAAGGAAAGAGGGATAAAGCATATGGCTGCATTAAGCTTTTAAGAAGTAAAGTGGATGCTTCGTTTTTCGTCATGTGGAATATTTAGTCAGAGTCAACTGTTAAAACTTTAATTTCATGTCATGCTTTTCCTTAGTTCTAATAAAGGGAGACCAAGCAAGTCACCTTTCAAACAACCAACCCATGATTATGATTATATATAATTCCTGATTATGATACATGAGTAATCGTACTATTTCAGGCATTAAAAGTAAGATTTATATATATTTTTTAATAAATTTCAATCAATAGAAAAAATGTTAAAACAAAATATGCTACAAGCAATATTTTTTATACTAAATAGCTGCACAGTTATTACTATTAAAAATTGTAAATCAATTTTAATAGAATGTTATTAGATGTATAATGTTATTTGATCTAACCCCTCCCCTCACATGCATTTATGGAGATTAACTTTTACATAATAACTTGTTATAAATATTAATTTTTATCAATTTAATCTTTTCTTTTCTTTTTGCTATTGTTATCAATTTAGTCTTTAAATAAGGTTACACGTCAATGTTAAACATACATATTGAAATTTAAATAAATCATATTCACAAAAATATAATTTTATAATTAATATTTATTATATTTTTACAATATATTAGACATTAATTGTTAATGAATTTTTTATATGTACGATTCTTTGCAGACTAAATTTATATAAGAAGAATTTTTAGTTTAATGATTAAATTGATATAATTCAATATTTATAAATAATATACATTATATTATATTACAGGTAAAGTTGTGAAATAAAATGTCAAAGTTGATCAGTTCTGAAAGCAACACACTTGTTTCAGAATATCAAGCTCTCACCCACCCTTTACGTAGTTAGAAAAGGTTATAATACAATTGGCTTTTAGTATTTATCCTTTTCACTTACTTTTTTTAATGAAAAAAAAAAATCAATCTTCTTCCTCTCTTCTTATTTCATGTGTTTGATAAATATAATTAAAAAGAAGTATATATAGAAATTCAGGAGTTTGAATAATAATATTATTTGACAGTCTAGAACTTTACCTAAACTTTAGGCTTTGAGTATTTCCTTGTTGCCAGTTTTAATATAGGGAACAAACAACTTGCGTGCTCCAACTTGCAATAAACAACAATCCAAGTATCCACCTTGTTTTCACAATTATTATTGACTGAAATCAATATTTTAAATTTTAATAATACATGAAAAGTAATTTTTAACTCGAATATAATCTTACACAGCTATTTTCAAATTATCAAATAATTTTAATTCTACCGTATATAATTCACCCCTCAGTGCTCCATGAGAACTATTATCATCGACATATCAACATAGTCTATACTAAAAGTAATTTATAAGTTTCAGTTTATGTAAATAAGAAGTTTTTACAAAGAAAAAAATATAAAAATAATAAAATTTCTGTCAGAAGTTGGAAACAAATTTTTATTTAAAAAAATTAAATGAAAGAACTTTTTAAAAATAAAAAAATAAAAGTTGTTTTCAATGTATGATAAAATATTTATTTATTTATTTTTCTAATTCTTTTTCTCTTATAAAAACTTCTTTAAAAATTTCTCTAAAGATCAAGAGCTGATTAATGACAATGTATTATAAAACGATGATCATTTCTTCAACTTTTGGCCTAAAACTAAAAATATTATTATTTTTCGTGTCATTTCTCTAATTGTAAAGAATTTTAGTTTAATGGCTGATCCAGGCTGACATATATTTACATAACTTGTTTGACTATCCGCGTACATGCATATATGCATATGCCTATGCAACCCAAAACCCAACCAAACATATGAAGTTAGTAAATTGCCAATTCTTATATAAGATAAAATTTAACTTCTTTTAGATGATATGTGATATTTAAGTATTTAACTCGATCTTTCTAACTGCTACGGCTTAATTAATCGCTACTAAATCAAAATGTTGATTTTAACCCCATAATTTTATGTTATAAATATATGATTTGTAAAATATCTGTCATTGGTACAAATGGAGAGATGGAAATCAAGAATTGTTTGGTAGCAGCGTATGTATGTCTTCTTCTCGTGAAGGCGTTGAAACGTTCTTTCATAGTGACCAGCTTAAGCAGCGGAAAAGCAGTATCTCATTAAAACTAGAAAAGTCATTAAATGCCAAAAACAAAAGGAAAAGGAAAAGGAAAAGAGGAGAAAAAGAAGGCAAAAGTTGGGAAAGTCAGCAATATTTTGGAGAAGGGCCAGCTATTGTTTCACTTTGACATGTTAGTGGGATCATATGAAGACAATGTAGTGGTGGTCTCGCTGTTAAAGCCTATTTAACTTTAAGCCAAATCAGGTTCACCAATTACACAAGCAAATGCATGCCTCGGGCCCAAAAATCTCTCATAATTTTGGCACAAAAACTCAGTACAATAATTTGTCACCAATTGTGGTCATTACACATTTGGAGCGTGCTATCTATATATATACTTGCTGAAAGGTGCATGTATAATGAAAAGTCTAAAAGCAAAAGTCGAAGAAAAAACAAAATAATGAATAATGTGTAAGGAACCGATCCATGCTATTTCAAATGCAAAGATTCAACTTCTGTAATCCTTGAGTACAAGAGTGTGTACGATCAACAGGGTATCTCTCGGGAAGATTCCATTTATCATTCCCCTCCTTGTTAAGGATATTGTATAATTTCAATTAATCAATAACGAAATATAATAAACACATCCCATAGACACGTCCCATTTTTATTTTTATTTTTTCAAATCTGATGTTGTTTAGAGTATCATTTCCACAGTTTCAAACCGAAAAGGGCTATGTAGTTGAAAATGCATACCAGCTCCGTCAGAAACTTACACCAAAAGAAAAAAAATTGAAGTGATTGAATCAGACGTTGGAGTAAATTGCACTCGTTAATTATTCTTAATTTTTTGTTGTTTACATATAATCAACAACTAAACATACAAAATTTGTGAATGTAATCAACATGCACCCTCTCCTAAGCCCACACAAAGGCATAAACACGACATTATCATCAAAATTAATATACCCAAAACTGCTTAATTACTAACTTAATCACGTAGGTTCATAATCATGCACGATTAACATTATTTGTCAACAAAGGGAACTGAAGTCAAGCCTGCTTCTTCAACTCTTTATAGAACCTTTTGATGAACTCTTCAGCAGCCTTGTCAACTTGGTTGTCCCTCTCTTCTTCCGTTTCTCGCAGTGGGAACGGCGAGTCAGTCACCCTCAACTGCCTCACGGCGGGGCTCCGCCCGAACCCGGGGAGAGCCGGCGAGGCCTCCACTATGGCGTCATTATTGTTTAGCTTCTCCAACACCGCCTTAACGGCGTTAACGGTCATCAAGTCGTCGTCATGTGTGGGTGGCGCATGAGCACATGTGAAGAAGGGGTTGTGGCGGTGACGCTTGTTGTTGTTGCCGCCGATGTTGAAGAAGTTGGTGGGTGTGTTGCTGCAACTGAACTCGTACTCCCTTGTGGCTGAGAATTGGAGGCGCGTGTCGTCGTTGGAGGAGGAGGCACCGTGGTGGTGGTGGTGGTGGTGGTGGAACATGAGGTCGGCGATGGCCTTGCCGGCGAGCTTGCTGCGGCGTTTGAGGATGATGTTGAGTTCCATCATTAGCTTCCCTTTTGATATGCCTTTTCTCAACATGAAGAAGGCCACACGTATTATCTTCCACACTCTCTTTGCTATTATTGGTATGTTGCTTTCCATTTCTATTTGTTTGGAATTTTTGAAGGAGAGATTTTTTTTACCAATTTGAGTGAGATTTTGAGAGAGAGAGAGAGAGAGATTGAAACAAGAACAGAAGGGATATTGGGTTGAAGAGGAAGCGGGGAAGGGGGGCTATATATATGTGTGTGTGTGTGTGTGTTTGTACTTTGTTGTGGGGAAAAGAAAATTTAAAGGAGTATAAGAAAAATGTGGATTTTATGCACTTTGAATCAACCGACCCTACTACTTGAATAACCCGTGGGTGCGCAGATATTTACTATTATTTTGGTTTTATACTTTTTATTTTATTTTCTTTGAACCTACTATTATTGGTGGGGTGCTGCCTTAAGGGTAGTGGGTTCAACATTGATCACGTGAGGTTTTGTAGGTTGTAACTTGTAAGGAACTCTCAGTTGTGTTTGAAATTTGTGGTTTAATTTGGAGCACTATAAATCTGATGATGAAGTTACTAAATCTTAATGGACTCATTGTGTTTGGCTTAATCATGTAATTATATAATTGCATTTTAAAAAAATATTTCTAAAGTTCTTCCTATGATTTCAAGATTTTTCTTATAAAAAAAAATACTTTAGAATTTTATACGATTATAATTAATGGACACTTGTTTAACACAAAAACTACTTTTTTCTTTAGTATAAAAAAACATTAGTATTATTTTTTGAAAACTCAGACAATTTTTTAAGATTGAATTCATTAAATTCGTATAAAATATTAATTTATAGTTAATATATTAATTTAATCATGAATAAATTGTGATCAACTTAATAATAATAAATATTTAGAGAGACTTTGCAATTATCACTTTGTATACTAATTTGGGGTACTCTTTGTATCCTTTTAATTTATTTTTTTTACTGATGAAAAAAAAACGTGTAGTTTTAATATTATATGAAATATTGAGTAGTTAATTGATATAAAATTATACAAAAAATTGAGTTTGGAAAGTTTTAAAATATAACACAAAAGAATTATAATGCATATATAACAAGATAAAAAAATATAATAAATAAATAATGACAATTCATGGTTAGATCAATTAATGCGCCTTTATTTATTTAAAAAAAATTAGAATCAGAATTTTTTTAAAAATTATTTAAAAAAAAACCTAATTTTCTGACAGAACTTGTCCCAAGTTTCTATCATTTTAGCTATTCTTAGCTAATTTTTATTTTCACTGATTTTGAGTAATTTCAACCGATCACAGTGAAAACAATGCTTACAGGTATGATTTTATCTCGTTTTCTAGAAATAACAGTATTGCACTATTCGAGCGTTGTTCTTTGTGTTTTGATATTTTAATATGTAACATTTAAAACCAACGCATCCCAACAAAGTAGAAAACTCAAACTAAAAGCAGAAGCACAAAAAGAGAGAACCCAGACTCCAAATAAACAAGAAAGATAAATCCAAGAGTTCGAACAAAGGAAACGCATATCACAAAAGCCAAAAATAAAAGAAAAGGCAACAATTCGTGTAACGGTTATATATATATATATACACACACACACGTTATATTGAAGTGTGCTCGCTCTAATTAAGTTGCTTACCAAATGGAACTCTAATTCTATTATATAAATTTTGAGAAGTGTTATATTATATCTTTTAAATTTGCTCTGATTTTGTTTTACCTTCCTATATACTATGCAATAGACGTTACGTACAGAACAACCAAAAATATGATTGAAACTTCCTCTCGTGTATGGTAATTAATATTATAAAAATGAAAAAGAAAAAACTATTTGAAGCGATAAATATCATACAACAGAGCATCTAGTAAACTTTATTTCACTTTTATATAATGGGTAATTTCTAGAATACATCTCACTGAATTACAAAACAAGAAAAACCACTGGACAAAAACAAAGAAGAACGCTAGCTCTAGTGAAGGAAATGCAAACAAGATCTCAGAAGGAACCACCCCTGAAGGAGTGGAAGGTTACTAACCGAAAAAAACCTCAGAAGGCAACTTCGGGCTTCTTCCCATGAGAAATAAAACCATTTTTATCCCGAAAGACAGCAATGGAAGCATTTGGAAACCAGAGGAATAAGATGTGGGGTTCTTAATACTTACAGTAGATTCAATGGAAGACCTAACTAATGCAGTCAGCCGATAAAAATTATGGAGACAGCTAATTAAAGTAATTAAAGATGCAAAACCATTCATTTTTACATAATTAAATTAATCAAGGGTAAGAGCTAACAAATACTCTACCAGTAAATATTTTTTTTTTAATAAAAATCATGACATAACATTTAATGTCATATTTTCAATAAAAAAAAAAGATTTTTTATCTGGTTAGGGTACTAGTTAGAATTTACCATCAATTAATATAGAAAAAAGGACTTCGATTGAGGTTGTCGTATGATTAATTGGCTATTTTGATATCATTGATTTCTCTTGTAATTGCTGGAATACAACTTGAACTACGAGCAATGCCTCCTTTCTTTGGCCCTCCTTTGTCCCTAGGGCTAATAGACTTAGCCCTTCTACCATCTAAATGGTTCTTTTTGAGCATCTCTTTCATGGCTTGGGCTTGAAACAGAACTGGGAAAGCCCTACCATACTTGTTGAACCTAACACATGCACTCATATGTGCACCTAAAGCCTCTTCTTTTTTCCCTCCATTTTTCTCCAACTCTTCCTTCACTGCCTCAGCACACAACCCACACACCCATTTCCCATTGAACTTTTCACGCACACGATCTATGTACTCGGGTGTGCACTCCTCACACATCCCACAGCACTCACATTTTGCATTTTCAACCTCAGATATTGGTGGCAGCTTCAACTCATCAATCCCTTCTTTGCTCAGCTCAAAAGAGATGTCCGAGACCGTTCGTTGAAGGTGATCAGAAGAGAGCTTTGGTGGCTTTGATATGTTGTTGCTTCGTGAGAAATTGCTGGACAAGGACTCTCCATGGGGTGCCATATCTTGATCAATGAGTTGATGGAGCAAAAGGGGTATATTTGTTTCTTGCAAAACGGGGTTTGAGTTTAAGAGTGTTTGTATATATTGGAAATAGTAATTCACTACGGAAAGACTGAAACAGTTTATGTTAATGGGTGAAGAAGGAAAGAGCAATGCTATTTATAATAGGTCTACTTGGTTTGATGAATCTATAGAGAGTAAACTTTCGTGGACCTTAGGAACTCAAATGTCAGTTTCCATGGTCGTGAACTTGCTAGATTTTTGAAGAAAAATTTAATGAGAAAGCAGTGGCTTATGTAGCTTTACGAAATTTGAAATAAATGTGTATCTAACCTGACAGATTTGCGGCCTTGTTTTTTTGTTATCTATATTTTACTTCATGGTGGTGTAATTCCGTGCTTGGTAGTTGTGTCTCAAAGAAAAAAGGTAGAAGACACATGCTGCAGCGCAAGGTTCACCTGCATGCATTATTTCTTTATACGTTGGATAACATGTCAAAATTAATAAAATAATCTATTTGATATTTTTTATAAAATTATTTTTGTAATCTAATTATTAAGTCATGTAATATTTAAGTATATCAAAATTTGAATATTTGTAGATATATAATCAAGTAGTAAATATTTATTGACAAATGATGACGTTATTGACGAATGATTTAGAAGTATTATTTATTATTATTGGATATTTATTTTGTTTAATACTTTTAATATAAAACATGAGATATTGTTATGATGATTATATGCACTAAGTATTCATTAGCATAAAGTTGATAAAGTATTAGCTAATTTAATTTTAACTTTATAAATTTAAGTAGATTTTATCTATTTATATTTGTTTAATTTTATTATTAAATTTATAAAATTCAATTGCCTTGAAATATTGCTAAACCAAATAAGTTTTATTATAATTCTATTTTTATTTTTATTTTGCGGGTTGTCTTTGTGTGTGTGTCTATCATGTAAAAACAAACGAATTGCAATTTTTTTTGTCCACTTACTTACATAGCCATATGAGTATTGATTTTTCCATACTTCATATCTAAACCACTCCTCATACTCTACACTAAACATACAAGTTTTTATGTTTGGTATCCTCCCTATCTTTTACGCAATTTAAGTTTATCTTTTCACTCTGTTATTATAAAAGGGTGTGAGGTGAGGAATAATGTGTGAAATTTTTTTTTCTAATGATGTATATTGGTCATTCATTTGGTAAAAAAATGCAAAGTTGTAGGCGTAAAATTGCTTTACGCTACTTTATTTGAGGTCATGTATTTGGTTTGATACAATGCATGGATCTTGTACTGGGAAAGGAATCAACTCGGTTCCACCCTCAGGAAAAAGAAACCGAATACCTACTCGGCATACTAGACCGGGTACCCCTCGTCAGGATTAAAAGGTAAATAATCTAATTAAAGATAATAGTCAAAATACTATGGGCCACAATATAAAAGCTGACTCAGGCCCATTAGCCCAATAAAATATCTATAAAAAGAAGGTAAGAAATACAGGTAAGGGGTTGACTTCCCATCATTAAATAACATTTATTGCTCAGAACCGAATCTTGACTTTATCATTGGAGTGCCTTTTACAGGTATTCTCCCTATCCGCCAATCATCAGAAGGACGCCTGATCAGAGGTTTGAAGACAGTTGTTTCCCTAGAGGAACAGATCTTAAGGAGCTAGTCATATAAGTTTGACACGTAATCAGAGCCGAAATGTATGTTCATGTTCGGTTCACATATGAATGTACGAACTACATAGAAATATGAGAAATTCCCTTTTGGTTAGAATGCTAATTAGGTATTTTCATAATTCATGACATAATTAAATACGTTTCCTTCCACTACTAAAAAGTTCTTCCTTTTAGCAATTGATGAGATGTGGTCCAATACCAACAGAACACCAATACAACTTGTGGGGTATTCACATGCTAGCGTGGTGAAACCATATGTATATTTACATGCTTCGGCTTTCGTCTTTTGGGGTAAAGTTATTTACATGAAAAGAAGGAAACTAAAGGAAGAGACTAGATATACGGGCTTTCCCCCACATACATGAACTTTCATTTCACGAGGAGCTTAATGAACCATAGAAAGGTAGGAGGAAAGTCGTTGAGTTAGTTGCATGGAAGATACTAATTAATTAAAGTTGAAGTCTCTCTCATACGGGTATCTCTTTTAAAAGATACTGAATTGCGGTAAGGACCTGCAATTAAAGGGGATAAAGATATGTAAAGTTGCATATACATCTGGCAGTGCTAAACAACAGTGAATATGTGAATCATATTAAGCCTAAGTCTAATGATACATGTGACAAAGAAAATCATCCATCCACATGTTGTACTTGTGGCGTAAATAATTTCAGTCATCTTAGGAAACAAACGAAGTGAGATAAATACATGGGTTTTGGCCGAGAGTAACAGGTGTAGTTTATTCGCTTCTCATTGCATTTATATACCAAGAAAAATGGAAGTTATAATTTTTATAATGCTTTGGAGGCTTAGCGGTGTGTGCTTTTCCTTTTCTTCGGCTGATGTGCTTAAAGGCACATCATTTTCACCTATAAATAGGTCCCCGCAGAAGTAAATGTCATTGAGGAAAAACAGTAGGAAACTCCATTCGACAGTTATTAAGAGATTTTTGTCTCAATGGCATTCATAGCTCCAAAGCTCAGTTACCGACATGTAGCCGAATTGTACATACCACCATCTTCGGAAATAGAGGTAGAGAGGAAAGGGAGAGTGGATCGAGCCCATACAGAACAAAGGAGGGAGAACTCTCACCACTAGAAACAAAAATGATCCAGCATACACCTTATTTTCAGGTGGAGGTGGAAGCAAGAAAGTGATAGAAATAAAACCGAAAAACAAGAGAGAACAAATCAGAGATGAGCTATAGTAAGGGATGTGTTATAATAGAAAGAAAGAGAGCGCGAGATAAAAAAAAACGAGGTAAAAGAAATATAGAATTGCATTCAAAATTACGAATGAGACAAATGACATCTCACAATTTCATAGAGAGGGAGCTGATAACAAGTGACCCACATGTAGCTAACTAACCGAATCGTCTAACAACATAATTTTAGCTGACACATGTCGAGTCACCCAACCATTGACCACATTGCATATGCAAGTATATATCTCTGTTACACCCTACAAATTTTTCTAACCTTCTGACAACACCAGAAATTTTTAATTTCCGTAGTAAGTAAAGCAGCTGGTAATACTCAAATGATTTTTTCTTTAATAAACAGAGAAATCTAGTGTTGACAAGGAAGGAGCATAGTGCACAGTTTACAATTCATCCCTATAATCCAAGTATTTAAGCATCGTTCTTGCACTTGGGTTTGATCATTTTTGTCTATCCATGTTATATTCTTCCGAGAAGAAACGGATCCACAGAAACTGCCTCACATTATCTCATCTATTTAACAGAGCAATTAATCTAAAGTTCAAAACACAATTCGTTTGCTTATAATATTGTTACCAATCTTTTTGCTTGACTGTGAGAACCCAATTTCTTTTATATATGAAAATTGTGCATAGAAAGAAATCATTTCATTGTCACAAATCATATGACTATACTTTACAAATTAAGATTTAAGAATGCATTAAATAGTAGCTGGATGTTGAATAAGGAAACAAGTTACAAGGCTAACATATAAATAGTCACATTATATGCAATCCAAGTACTTAGAGCAAATACAGTTAAAGGTCAACCCACAAAGCATAATTGTCTTAAGATTAAATCTTCATCTTAACACTTAGATGCCTATACTCCGATAAAATGTCAAACAAAAGACCAGTTTACAAACATAAAGCAAATACAATGAGCGTTCTCTTCTTCATTCAGCACCTTCCATGCAACAACTCTTTCATAAGAGACAGGTCGCCCCATGCTAGAGAGACAAATGCCACCTTGAAGACATGCAAAACCCTACCAAAAAAGGAGGAGAAATTAACAGAAAACGTCAGTTCTGTTGACAGCATATTCCCAATTCGGATGGGCAAGGAATAAAAGGGGGGAACAAGTTTACCCACTGTAAAAATAATTTATCGCATGAAGCATAATCTGAGATGTAGAGTAATTATACAATACACACAAAAAACGTGTACGCCACACTCTAGTAAAAAACAAAAAAAATTCAATAGCATGCCTTAAGGAAGGGGAATCACTGCTTTATTATAACAACAAAAATAGTTGACCTGTTGAATAATCTGTGGAAACTCTGAAAAGAGAATTTTTCGTCCATGATCATCAAATATTTTCTCTAATGTTATATCCTGTAATGCAACTAGGGTAGTCTCCAGCATGTCAAGCCCAGCCTGGTTTGAGAAAGTGAACACTGGCAATGCCTGCATGAACAATAGTTCAATGAATCTGCCCTCAAACAAGATAGAAGATCACAATTATATGTATACTTGAACTGTTTTTCAACTCATTTCCATTGTTAGAACAAAATAAGACGAGTATAAAAATAAATATGAACATGACATCCATCCTGTTATACATCTTATGTGCACTATAATACTCTAAACATTGACAAGTCAAGCTACTTTCAAAATACTTGGTGGAAAATGGGTCTACAGTTGAGTGCGGGCCAAATTTGGTTGGGCCAGAAAAATACAAATCCAACTCAAATATTTTACCAGGCTACTAAGGCTTTGGAATACAAATTTTTCTAATGCATTTTTAAGTTAGAGAAATTGAATTGCACTATGGACAAAGAAGATACATGTACTATGAAATTGAGATAAATTTAAGCATACCTTTAGAGTGCAGCACAATATTGCATCTGAGAGATGCCACAAGGACTTAAGTAAAGATTCATTCCCCTCGTTATTAGATTTAAGTAGCTCCACGCCCAAGTAGCACCTACAAAACTAAAGTAGTGAGACAATAGCTCTGTATTTAAACTATCAGTCTATGCAAATCTATCTTGTGACATTGAAAAAGAGAAGGTAAATAATAATTACAGTGACTTCTTAGAGTTCTCTACTAAAAATTACAAATTAGAAGGAACAAGCATATGCACAAAACTGCACTGTTTATGCCTCCATATAACTCTTATTTGCTACTTGTGTAAATTTGGGCCAACTTTTTT